TCCACAAAGCAGGCTCACTCATAACAATAACTCTCTGTGTTTAGTGAAGATGATGATGAGGTGCCCTGACTGTCCCATACTGATCCCACTCAACAGCACTATTGGTCTCAAGTCTGTACATGATGCTGTGACAAAATTCAACTAGAACTCTTCCAACACGCGCTACTACGTCCTGCAGGAAGTGGGACGGATACAATCTGGGGTACAGAGAATTTCACACATACACAAATGCATTAATGCCATGTTTCCATTGCATTGTACAGCTTGACTCAATTTTGGTACCAGGTACTTTTCTCAATTTTGTTTTTCACAGCAGATAGTACCCCTCAATTTAAGTGGGATTCTTTACTGATCATCACATATTCATGGCATGACATCTGCAATGCAGCACAACACAGCACCTTAATTTGTTCCTTAGGCCTGAGGCATGTCAACAATTATCATTAGGGTTGGGGTTTTCAAAGCTTTACAAATACTCTGATTCTTCAGAGTATTCTTAGAGTTTTTTTAAGTAGCTGTGTAAGACTGGAAATTAAAGTGTTACTAAGTACTGAAAGTGTGACTTTTGCACAATGTATGACAAACAACTATGGATTATTGTTTGCTAAAAATATTGTGTTTTATGTTCCATATCCTAGATAGACTTAGTTTTCAATTTAAAAATCACCAAAATGTTTTATTTGTTAAGTAGCGCCACAACAGCATCATGCAGTAGCACATCTGTATCACATCCCTTTAAGCCCTGTACCTTTTTCTCAATGTACTTTCTCTTTCTCCTCTTCTCTCAGTACATGATGATGGCAGGGATGGGCTACTGGGCTAAGTTTGTCCTTGTGGAGGATCCTTGCCCATGGGGATCCAGAATAGTTCCTGAGGCATGCAAACCCCTCTGCCATGACAGAGCTGTAAGTACAACTAGAACATACTGACTTGGTGTGGCTCTGTCTCATAACAGCCACTTGGTTACCTTGTCTCACAACCATTTGCTGCTGACAGGCTTGTGTGAGCTTGTGAGCTACTTTAACCACACTTCAAGATTAAAGGTCCAATGTGTACAATTTAGGAGGAGAGATTTCATTACTGTATAAGTGCCTGAACATAAGCATTGTCAAGGTTGATGCTAGATGCCACTAAATTCTCACTTACAGGCCCTTAAAGGGTCAGTCTGGTGTGATTCTGTATTTTTCTTATTGTCAACAAATCCTGTCAAAAGTGTAATGTTTAAAACCATCAAGCATTACTCTCTCAGTACTTCCTGCCCCAATCTCATTGGTTCCTGCTAAAGGCATAATTTATTTTAAACTGGTTAACATATTATTGCTACCCCAGAGGCAAAATTTCTGTTCGGTGTTACAGCAGCACAAAGACAGAAATAATTACAGTAGATAGAGAACTTATATTAATAAAATCAATCAATCAAAAATCATGAATGCCTGGGTTCCCATTAGACCAGTGGTCCCCTACCTGTTTTTTAAACATATTTCATGGATATTTAATATTATGTTCAATAGCTAACAGTACAGAACAACTAAAACTGAAACTGTACGATGAATTGAGCAGATTATATCCTGTAAATATTACATCATGGAGTTTTAACAATCTATTTTTAACAATCAAATATACCTAATAGGCTTATTTTTTTTTGACAAATTCAATGTTTTCTGCTCCATGTTGCTTGCATACTTTTCTAATGCAGGACAAGGCAAAATACAGTCTGTGTTTAGGTCAGTCCAGGTCCAGTATTAGGGACTGTGATCGGTACAGTTTGACGGTCCTAGATCAGAGCTAGGCACTTTATTGTGTTCAAGGATGTTAACAATATGAGTGTGATTTGATTATTTCATTCAATGTTGGTCACTCAGCTTCCTACTTCTGCTCTCATTCTCTCTCTCTCTCTAAAGCATCATGCTTTCTGTTGTTCATCTTTTACCACTCAAAATGGACTGGGATCTGTTGAGTGCAAGTTCTATCCCCCAACGGTAAGTCCACATTGCAAACATACAGCACAGCGTATGTTCACCTAATCTGCTTCAAGCTAAAAATAGTATAGTCGTCTCTCCAAAACTCCACTTCTTGTGGAGTGTCTTGTTCTACATTATTAATTTACTCTCTAACCATAATTAGGAAATCAGTAATATAGTCATATCATTGAAAAATACATTTCTCCATATTTTATTTATTCATTTTCAGTTTTGTAAACATACAAACTACAAAGGAAGCAACAGCCCCCCGCCCCACCCTCATGGATAAAGAAATTTAAAAAAACAAAACAAAAAAAAACAAGCAAATGAACAAAAAACAAGACAAAAACATGCTCTTATAGGATACAAAGCAATACAATTAGCAAAACTGTCAGCACCAGCCACTGAATGGGTGTCTAGAATGTTTCATTGATCAAGAGATACATACATATACATATAGTACGTGTACACATATGCAGTAGCCTATATACACACCTATATGTACAAACATATAAACATACACGCAAACACTTTAGGCCATTCTGGATAAATACAACAGAAATGGTTGCCACATTTTGTCAAAGGTTGCAGAGCTGAGAGAAACATTATATCGAACCCTTTCCATATGTAACAAGTTTGTTATTTCTGCTAGCCAGGTTTTAAAAGAAGGCACATCTTCATTCTTCCAAAGAGTTAAAATATTCCTTTTTGCAATAACCACGCCATATTGTATTGTCGGCCCCGCCTAAAATGGCAGTGCAAGGATCTGGTGTAATATCACAGTTATATACTTCAGAAAAGCACTTAAAAATATCTGACCAGAACTTGTTTAGCTTGGGGCAAGACCAAAAGAGGTGGCCCAGGGTGCCCTCAGCAGATTTACATTTTGGGCAGATTGGAGAGACAGAGGGGTAAAAAGAGTGTAGTTTGGTATAGGAGTAGTGCAGCCTATGAAGTATTTTAAATTGAATAAGTTGGTGTCCCCAGCTTTCATCAGTGACTGTACTGCCCAGGTCTTTTTCCCAGGCTTCCTTCAAATATTGCGTTGAAACCGGGTCATGCGCTGTAAAAAGAGAGACTCTTAACTTAACTTGAACTTAAAGAACATGTCAAATAAACCATCAAGGTTTCAATCTGTGTGATGCTAACTTCTTCTGTTGACCTGCCGTGTGGAGACAGTCTGGAGTGTACCATTGGCGTAATTACAGACTTTTCCATGTTAATTGCAATCAATTAATGAATTGATATATCTAAAGAAGCAACTATAAACTTTAGGTATTTAGGTAAATTCCATTTACCTGTGTGACTATATGTGTTCATTTCATGATTGTTTAAATTTAAAGACATGTAATGGATCCCAACCTTTTTCTTTAGGGGGCCCTTTTCTTGAGTAAGTATATTGCATATTATATTCAATGCTTAATAATAACAGTACAGAAAAACTTTTTCAGAGTGAAGGCTCTGTGAATATAGCTTGTGTTTAACAGCCTGTTGCAGCAGCTATGTTTAAGTTCAGACTCTACATAACGAAAATTATTACTAAGTTGTGATTTATGCATTATCAATAAACATGGTTGCACCAAAGAGATATGTTACACCTTCACTCTTGGTAAAACCTAAATAATTACACATGCCTCTAAGGTAGTGAAAATCATAAAAATGTCACGAAATTATACTTACTGATGGTAAAACTGCATTTTTTTCTGCCACACAGCATCATTATTTTAAATTAATGGCAGCCATTTTGCAACACATTCATTGAGTAGATATATAGATATATTTCAGTAGTAATCTAGCTTGCTATGATGTGCTATGAAGTGGCTCATGCCAGTCAGAAAGGTTATGCACACAGCAACCATGATGGACTATATTGGTCACTGATTGGCCGCTTGCCTTAGTTATGACTGTACGTCCAAACTACTTATGCCTTAAGTAATGGTGCAGTTATTGAGCCTCTAGGGTCACCTTAACCCTCACAGGGTTCATGTTAAGTGACTCAGGTCCATTATATGTATGTGGTCAGCGTTTACTGGACACACAAATTATGCAATCCCAGTGAGGGACTAATTAAAAAAAAAAAAAAGTACAAAGGATATGAAGGAAAACCAGCATTGGTTCCATGTCAGTTTCAATTTGTAGTTGTTACAGCATAATCAATTCACATTATTTCCAAAAATATAACACATATTTAAGACAGTTAAAGCCTGCAATTCTGATTGTTGGATTTGAGACATTTTAAGTTTTTTTTTTGTTTTTTTTTAATTAAATTGTAGCATTAAATAACTCTAGAATTAAATTGTAAAGTAGACAAACATTGAACACAACCAATATTTACTTACACGTTTTTAAAATAATAGTAATAAATCTCAGCAGATATTTATTGACAATGAACACCAATGAGCATGGAATAACTATTTATTAAAGACTCCATTACTTAAAAACAACATAAAACAAAAACACAATATAAACACTTAATATGGCAAATTTAATATACTGTATTAGGAAAAAAATAGTCATTTAATTTGAAGACTTATTCACCATGATTGCTGCAATCCACCGAACAGAAAGGTTTAACAGCATTTACTTAAACAACAAATTAGAAAGTAGACATGGAGATATTTAGCACATAAATTGAAATTCTACTTAAAAACAACTTTATTGAACACAGCAGGCAGTCAGTCACAGTTTCATACGGGAGCTGAAAACATGACATTTGATGAGTTTACTTCCTCCTGGAACTGGAATGAACACCATTCTGTATCCTGGTCATTATTTGTCTGCTTCATGCAGAGAAGTAAGCAGAAGCCACGGAGGGCTTTGTTAGCTGAGGGAACTCTGAAAAGAAAATCACAATGTCAGTCACATTATGCTTAGTCTCATCCCACATGTTTATTTTAACAATATGATTAATTAGGGACCGAGCCTGCTGGGAGGTCCCTATTGTTTTTGCTATGTTTATTATTATTTTTCAGAACTTCGACTGCATTTTTGCAGTCCCCCCCGAACATATACGAAGAGTCAATTTTATTTGGCAAAGTGGTCAGGCCTGGTTAAAAATTTGATATTCTGTGGGTCTTGGACATATGCGTGGAAAAATTGTTCGACAGCGCCCCCTATTGATCATCCCCAACAGCACATTTCACCTATGAGTATGAAAAATGGTACACGTAGATCTTATCCAGACGAACAAAAAATCCAGTGGGCGCCATATCCCAAACCCAACAGGAAGTCAGCCATTTTGGATTTAGCGGCCATTTCTTCCTCCTAGGGAATTTATTTGGATCAAACTTTAGATTTGGAGCACAGGCCATCTAAAGACATTAATATTTAAAAGTTGCTGGCTAATTTACAACATTCCGTCAAACAACGGTGCAGCCATGGTGGGTGGAATTTCAATCGACTCGCCCCCTGAAGCCACGTCTAGTGATAATTATTTCTAATAGTGAGTGTGCACCTAGTGGTGAAAGGAAATGTCATTTTTATACTTTTATGTATATCTTCCAGCAGATTGACCAGATCCAGCTGAAATTCTGTCAGAAGTTCCTTAGGACGATGACGATGACATCTTATGAATCTTAAGAATTTTTGAAGAACCACGTTGCCATGGCGACGTGGCGAAAATCAGCTTTTGTGTTAACATTTGAACACTTTTTGGGGGGCTAAACATGCCCGAAAACTCATGAAACTTTGCACAAAATTCAGTTGTGGCAAAGGCTAAGGTATTGTCTTGATCTCGCAGATGAGCGTTGCATAATGGCTTAGCCACGCCCCCCAGAATCAGCCCCCTAGACATGTACGACCGACATGTACGAAAATTGGTACGCATGTTTATCATGATGGAACAAGCAAAAAAGCCTCTTGGACCCATAACCCAAACCCACCAGGAAGTAGGACATTTTGAATAACGTGGTCATTTTCAGTGAATTTTTTGCCTTGTATTTGAACTCCTCCTCCTAGGGAATTTATCAGATCTACTTCAAAATTGGTCAGTACAGTCAAAATATCTTGCTGATTAAAAGTTGTGCTATTTGTGACTGTACATTGAAGGGTGTGTCTGTGGCGTGCCGTCAAAGTTGGCCAGGTTGAATCAAATGTCAAACTGTGATGCCATTTCCGGCATTTCAGGGCTTCTATTTGAACAAACTTCTCCTAGTGAATTGATCAGAACAACTTCAAAATTGGTGAATACAATGCAGAGAAGTTCAGGATGTTGGGTTACACCCCGAGTTGCAGAGTGCAAGGGCCCATTCATCGCTGCTAGCAGCGTTAATTTTCATGTTATGTCCTGTGAGATTTATTTCATATTATTTGAATAATCTCCATAAACCCAAAACATTCAATGTGAGATCAGTTATATGATTTTAATATTTATTTTCTGCATGTTAGTTCACTGTAAACATCAGTTACTATGTGAATATACTAGTTTTATTCATAATCAGTTTTCTCAGTTGGTGTTATTCTGCCCTCTAGTGGCAGAATCCAGGTGCTGCAGTGAGGCAGGTGGGGGGGCAGTAGCAGGTCTGTGATCTTCCTCTGGTTTGTTGGTAGAAACAGAGCCTTCGATAATGGGCTTGAGTTCAGACACCACATTGTGGATCAAGTCTAGCACTTCATCTTCCTCCTCGACACCACTGATTTCAGTCTTCAGCTCCTTTTTTGTTCCACCTGTTAACGAGAGATAAAGAGGGAGAGTCTGTCCGTCCACTACGTTGGTTCAGACACCCAGGATGAGGCTAAGCCCCGCCCCTTTTTGGTTTGGCTTAGATATGCTAATGTGCTAGCTTGTGTTGAAAAGACAGCCACATTTTTGTAGATGGTAAAAAGAGAATTGTAATCACATTTTAAGTTGGATAATGTTAGCAAACCACTAGCTAATTAGCTTCTGTTAATATAAGTTTACTACTAGCGAGCTAACGATTAATGTAGATAGCTACTGTTTTGCTAACATAAGCTAACTTGAGATTTGACTGTCACTAAAAGATAAAAGCAACACAGTCACATCTTAAGCTAATGTTAGCAAAATGTTAGCCATGTAGATGTAATATAGATTAGCTAGCTTGTTAGCTAGCGTTTTGCCAACTAGATCTTTTAAACATATTCAGAACGTGGTTGTCTTTTCAAAATAAAAGTTTAAGTATAAATGCACTTCACGATATAACAATATAAGATTATTTTGACTCATCCAAATAAAAGCAGGATTTTACTGCTCTAGTTGGTTGAAGTGGAACTCATTTTCAACTATTGTTTATCAGACTGCAACATTACACAGATAACTAGTATGTAATTCATTTAATATGGAGTATAATCAAATTAGTACTTTCCCGTACAGACTGTCAGAGTGGACATACCACAGTTGTAGAGACGTCGAACTTTCTCAATGTCCGTCGCGGTCATTTTTTTTCTCTGTCCCATGTCCTTCATGTCACTCTTGGATAAAATGGTGGGAAGACCGTTGGCTGAAAAAAACCCACTGAAAACAGGAATAAACATAACATTTACAGAGAGAGAAGAAATAAGACTCCATCCTTGTGTTTTTCACACTTTACCTTCCGTAGTGCATTATAGAGCCAATGTCATAATGAAGGTCAAAGGTTTGGCCATATTGCATTTTGAAGTTTCTCTCCATCCCTGAAAACACAAGTCTATTAATTTCACTCCGAGAGGAAACATTTAATCTTAATTGATTATTTCTCTGTATTTTAGATCCTTTTTCCCCCTTTTTGAGAGGTACGGAAGCCAATTTCTGCCAATGTTTAATGTCATAATGAGAACCTCTCAAAATATTTAATTAGTATTTGAAAATACTTTTTTTAAATAAAGGAAATAATATAACTGACGATCAGTCTTAAAGGGTTAAAATTAAATTTTTAATTTCAAACATTTACCCGTCATAATATTCTGGGGGAGGACTGTGACGTACTGGTCGCGGTCCATCCTCGTGTGTTCATGGTAGAAACCCAGAGCGTGAAGAATCTCGTGGGCGATGTTACCCACGATGCACTGGGGCGCAACAAATATGGGTTGCTCGCCGCTGATTAAGCCCACATAAGACGCACAGCTGGAATATGACAGATGCACATTTAAGACTTTACTGAACATTTGAGACATTTAGAGCTGAAAATAATCTAAAAATACTTTAATAATGGATCAAGTTCATTTTACAAACTAACATGAAATATACCACCATCAAGTTTTATTTTTAAATTTAATCCATTGGCACTGAAAATGCTGCCAGTATTGCTAACAAGACCTTTTTCACAGCAGCCATGTTGACATGAAGTAGTTGGGTAAACACAGGTGTTACAGGCCCGAGGAAAGGACCCCTGAAGTGCTCCAGTTTTCGAGATACCTTTACCGGATGTACAACTAAGCACAACACACCCTTAAAATCAAGAAGGCTGTGCGACCCTTTGTGAAGCTTTAGTGGGGTTCAGGACCTCCAAGTTGGGAACCACAAATAAATGTAATGGAGTAAAAAGTATAATATTTTCACGTGCACAAAAACCATGATAGAGGAGAAAATAAGGATCCAGTTGAAAGGACTACCGGCTTTAGATTGTCTCCATGTACCTGAGTGGTGGTCAATCTACCTGGCGTTACCATACGTTAGCTATATATATATTATGCGTCCTTCCCCTTACATGTTTAAATATGCTAGGAGTGGGGGTTTAAGACGAATTGGAAGGTTTTGACATCAGCAATATTCTTGCCACTGCTCATCAGATTTCCAGAGCCTGATTTCAGAAAAGCCACAGAACATGGATGAACACAAACCAGCCCCAAAGCAGGATGGGACTTCTCTAAGCTATCCTTGGTGATGACACTAATTTATGGACAACTATTTCATGATGGGTGGCGATCCCTGTGTGACGTTGGAGAGCAGGTAGTTTGGTTTTAATTTTATATATATTGGTTATAAAATGTTTATCAATGCGGAAGCAGCAAACATTGAAAGTATAGAAACATCAGCAGGAAAAGAATACAAATGTGTTATACTGGCTAATTTGGTCAGCTGGTTCTCCTGAAAGCTACTCCTGTGCAAAATGAAAGATTCCCAATAAATGAATCTTAAATACTTAAACTTGAGTGTAAATTATAACATATAACTGAAAGGAATCATGAAGTGTATCTTAATAAATGCCGATTGAATGGTATGTATGCTGATGGATGCCCTTTAAGAGTAGCTTAATAGACTATATTAGACCGAGATTTAATATATGTCGTTTTTAGTGTAATGTTGCCTTATAAAACCTATTCAGAGGCAAAATACACGCTGAGATAAGTGTGTAGATTATTCAATAGACTTTTTAAAGGAAAGCTGGCCCTTCAAAAAGTTTTACTATGAGAGTTTAATGTTTGGGATCTTTGATTATTATTTGTCAAAAACATTGAATGATTTGTTCTTTACTGTATCTCAAGGTACCAGCGCCGTGAGTGCCAGACAATATTAACATCGTCTGCTAGGCTAAGACTTGGGACTGGGAAAGAGTGGCATTGCCATCCATCCTGGCTGTTTTGGGAAACACCCGGCGGGGTTCAAGCAACTTTTTAGGGCTTTAGCCAAGCTCTGTGCCGGTCCCACCAGTGTGGAGGTTCAGAATCAATGGAGAAGCTGTTCGGGTGCTGGTGGAGAGTTGGTCGACACTCGGACTTCTTCCAGACCAACTTGAAATAACTCTGGAGGACAGGTAGAGGGGATGTAGAAGTACTGTCAGGCCAGGGCACTGATGTGGGTGTTACTTGTGATACAAGCTGGCAGGTTCACGGGATGCTGAGGAAGGAATTATTAGAAAAAGCTGGAGGGACAAGCTTGGCTGGAGATCCAGATTGAGAGCCACACTCGTTCTGCTGACCCATGGAGGAGACCTGAAAAAAAGAAGTCTTTGCAAATTTATTCAACGAGAGTGATCCACTCAGAACATTGGTTTGAATTTTGTGTGGCTTTCGTTATCATCTTTTAACAACTCTTTGGAAGGACCAAGCAAGTATTAATCTCATCATGAAAATGCCAATTACAACAAAATGGTTCCAAAGTTAAACAAAAAACTATTAATTCCAGAGTGCTTTACTGTTAGCCTTGGCTATATTGAAAGTCTCTAATTACCACAGCACATTTCAGGGGGTTTTCAGCTTCCATACATGGCTTAATCGTCTAGTTTTATTCTGGATTGGACCCTAATTAAAGTGAATGTATCGTGCGTTAATTGGCAGCCAATGGGCTCCCCCTGTGGAAATTTCATTAGAATGCAGTTTTAAAGCACTTCTGCATTGGCTTCACTTTTCAGACCCAGAAGCTCTGTCCATTAATATATACTGTCAATTGTGTTTTATTGCAATATATTGTTGTGTTTTGTTTTGCTCGTTCTGTGTTGCCCTGTTCCGTTATCGCTCCCTCTGCTGGTCAGGTGACTGCATTAGTTTAGGCAAT